TAAGTATACAATCGGATAATACAATTTTTGATAATTGCCGTGACGGTTTTTTTTACTTTTGTCAGTTAAACCGCTATTAAAAATTAATAACGGAGACCTCTTTGCAATTAAATCCCTTCCGTGTGAACTTCAAATTTAAGTTTTATAAGCACCGATGTTTAAGAACATCGATGATTTGATGGTCGTATCGCATCCCTATGTGTTGCCAACTTCACGGACGTTGCCTCGACATTCTTCGCTGGAGTCGCCATGTCGTGGCCTCTGCCCGCTTGGAGTGTTTCTGCGCACACACACACACACACACACACACACACACTCGAGCCTTCTCAAACGCCCTCGTCCGGGGAGGCGCTGCAGCCTGTAATTGTACACAAGGCGTGCGCGGCTGTCAAGGACACAGACGTCGGAGCAGCGACGTCGTTGCCACTGCCGCCGCCGGCGGCATCGCGGGATTAGAAAGTTGTTCGCGTGACGTCTTTCTTCGGACACGACGCGGAAGGTTAGGCTAGAGCAGTGATTCCCCCAAACTTTTGGCCATGGAATGCTTTTCGTTCGAGGAAATGTATCGTTAGCTAACTTGTAAAATCTCGTAAGTCTTGATAACCTGATTTGCAGGAAAGGCAAAAGCTTTGATTTGGAACACACTGTTACATAAATTTCAATTGCTCGTCCAGAACGTTACTGGCAACAAGACTTAATATTTAAATTATTCACTTTAGATTGAAAAGAAAACTTGAATGGCACAAAAACCATAAACATTTGTGAAAAGGGGTAACAATTTTGCGAAGGTTTAAACTTGTTCGTAGTGTTAATAGTGTGAAATATTCAAAATTTAAAGTTTATTTATGAAATGAAAATTGTTCATAGCCGGATGTGCTGTTATTTTTATTCAGGGTTTAAATGTAATATTTAAAAAGATTAACATGCTTTGAAACGACAAGAGATCACGGTATTTGTAACAAATTAGTTTTTTAAATTCTTTTTCTTGACAACAGGGTTACTAACAATACAACTTTCAAAACTGGAATTGTATGGAATTTCTAACTACAGATAACTGTTGAGGTTGATGGCCATCCAGGACAATGTCGAAGTGAAATTAATATTTTCTATTTATATTCCTTGTAAAAAGGGCTTCACGGAGGAACATTGGTTGGCCCAACAATTACGATTATACTTCGTGGAGTAGTAACTCGTCTTGAATCATTTGCGTTTTCATTATATTTCATATTTCAGTTATGGTTCTTGAAGGGATATTTATTTCATTTTGCCTGTGCTTGATTCGTAATGAATTCAAGCCAACGCTCAAAATAGGACGAAACAATAACTAATTCACTACAAATAGATTTCCCGTAACAATTAACCAAGAGGAAATACTTTTTTCCACAGTTCTATAAAGTAATGAAGAAGGAAATTGACAAAAGTAATCTCGATATTTTGGTGAATGCCAGTTCACATTCGTCGATGTCTAACGAATTCTGTGCACCATTGGTCCATAACCCAATATTGGAATAGTCAAATAAATTGAAAATTTGGAATCTAGAAATACTATGTCATTGATGGTTATGGCTTTTAATATCAGATTTTCATGAAGTTAGAAGTAAAACTCGTATTCCAGTATTTACTTTTTGCATTTTTGCAAAGTTCAAGACTCACATGAGAGCCTCACATGAGTCCAGCTTCTTCGGGCTGTATAAAATAACGAGAACATCTCGTTTGTATCAAACCGTATGTAAATGAACGAAATATTAATGAAAATAATAATTCCAATGTAATTTGTAACTTAGTCTTAAATAGTCATATTTTATTTTTGAGGTGTACTATCACTGAAGATGGACTAACATGCTGAGACGTGATCCCGAAACTTATAGTTTTGCTTTACGTATCTATATGTTTAGAACTTTAAGGATTTTCGTTTACAAAGAAATCTGAGCTTTCTAAGTTATCTGACGCAAATTTGCTCGTGGTCTTTTCCAACTACAGGTTGTTGGTGCAGGTCATTTTGTTGCGGGAATTATATACTGGAAATAGTAATGGTTTCGTGGCGCAAGCAAGCATGTTAAATAAGCAAAGATAGTTCCATTTTTGTTTTTAAATGCTGATTCGAGAATGTGTCTAAACACAATGTTCACCGATCGTGTGATACGTGTACTTTTATAGAAAATATCCTGTTTGAGGTGGATGGTAATATTTCTTACTACGGTCCATTACAAATTCGTGTTCCGGTATTGCTAAATATAAAAAAATCATAAAAATATGCGCGTGTAGTTAGGTCATACATATTTATTATTATTATTATTATTATTATTATTATTATTATTATTGAGTCACATATAAAATTTCAATTGTGTATGACGAGTTAGCTCTGTTGTATGAAAGTGCACATGTCTTCCTGAGCTCCAGATTTCCTTCTTTCTCTACTACGAGTAAAGGTAAAGGCAGCATTTTAATATAAAAAATTAAAAATCTTCATCTCTGTGAAAGAGCTGCAGGTGATATTAAATTTTGATTTTGAATACACTTTTCCCAATTAATTAACCTTCCACTCTTATAATGTCCAGCAAAGCCTTGGGCTCCCTTTACATTTACTGTGAAGTTACATTACTTACTTTATAATTAGAGTGAAAGTTATTTACTTTCTAGAAATCAAAACATGGGGGCCATCTCAGCATTTGTCCAAATGATCAAGGGAAACTGGACAAAAATTCCTGATAGAGTTGGTGTCTGATCTTACAGCTGAATTACAATACTAGTTACCAATTATAATTAAATAATAATAGAATAATAAGATTAATTACAATACTAACAATAGTAATAACAGTGCTTCTACTAATAAGAGTATTTATTGAAAATTATTTAACAATATTATTGTGAACCATGCTTAATGCATGTAGCAAATCCAGGGAGAAGCAAATGGAAATTTTGGACGGGCATTCTCCTTCTACATTGGCCCAGTTGCAGTTTAACACAGGTCAGTTTTTGTTGCTTCAGTTCGAAAGTCAACATAAAACAGAAAATCAAATGAGATTAAAATGTATTTATTTAAATTTTTTAGGGGAAGTATTGTTCTGATTTGAATATTCCTTGCAGAACAAGTTAAGCAGAAAAGCTTTCGAATTACTTTTAAATGTTGGAATTGTTTGTCTTTAATGCCATGGCCCAGTTTGTTGTAAAATGTAATGCTCTCTGTTAGGGTACTTTTGTGATAGTGTAGTTTGAGAGTGGGGAACATATAGGTTATCCTTTTGACGAATGTTGTAGTTGTGTAATAAATGTGTTTTCCATGAAAATCTTTGTGAAGACCGCCATTTCAAACATACAAGTATACATGCATGGCAGAGGAAGAATCCTTAGTTTATTGAAAAAGGGTTTGCAAAAATGCAGCTTGTGAGTGCTGGTCATAGTTTGCAGTATTCTTTTGAATAATAAATAAGCGACCGCTTTCAGGGGCATTTCTCCAGAATATTGTGAAATTTCCCGCAATCTTTTATTAACTCTAGTAATTTATTAAATTTACTTGGCTAGCTCAGCTTTTATTCACTTTACATACTTACAAACTCAAGGGTTCTTATTTTATTTTTCCGTAGGTTGAAAATACCGCTCATACGAGAATTCGGTAGTGAAACATTTCTATTTACTTATGAATTAATTGATTTTCTGGCACTGTCAATATTTTTTCAAATAATGAACTGTTTCTGCATTTATTTTTCAGCGACCCAGTGCCAGATGCTAGTGCTTCTATTTTTGTACCAGTTTCACCCTTTCTTTATCTTTTCATTATTAAGTATTATAATTTTAATTTCTGTTTCCTGAATAATCTATTCTTAAAGTTGCCCAAAACTTTAACAAATACTCTTCTTTTTACTGTTAAATACTTATACTATTGTAATGTCATTTCTAGTACTTATTCGTGAACTTTCCTGGTAACAAACGAAATTGGCGATCTCGGCGCTGTACATTACTCAGCCCGTTGCATCATCCATCAACCTTTCCTTGGATTCCACCCTATATTTTCTATGCGAGGATTCATGACCTTTAGAGAGACTGTCTTACGGATGTTTGAGTTTGTCGTCTTGAAACCATTTTACTAGTGCCTGCAAGGTTTTGAGAGTTTATTTTTGTAATGATTGTAGTGATTTTGTTCTGTCGTCTGCAAACAATATTATTTAGTTATTCCTTAAAGCCAAAGGAATGTTATTTATGTAAATAAGGATTATTATTGACCCAAGGATGGATCATTGCGAGACTAGGCAGGGCAGTAGTATGAGGGGTTTCCGTGTTCTTTAGTGTGCTGGATGGCAACTACGTGTCTACGGATTGATAAATAAAATAAATTTTCAGAAACCGGTTTGCCTACTGTTTTCACGGTGAATGACTGTATTGTTCCAGAATTTGTAAACCTCCCGTATTTCTTGTCTCAATGAAAAACTCACAGATCGACGTGAAACACTGTTTGAAGAGTTTACGATTTTGCATATCGCACCGTTGCTACAAAAAAGCCATTACTCCAAAAAAAATAATTTTTGAGTTGGTACTATGACACAGCTGCAAAAACGATACTCGAGCAGTCAACAAAAGTGTGGTTCTATAACATCACAATATGGCCGCAAGGGGGTGGCTATATGAATGATCAAGATGCTAATATTGACGAAACTAAAACAAAGGGCTGTTCTTCGACCTTAATACTAAAAGTAACCAAAACATAATTTAATCATGATTCTATTTCCGTTCTCATTAGTGCAGATAAATTTGTTTCTAATTGTTAGTAATACCACAAACCTTTTTCGTGATTCATTGTAAACCTGACATTGAGTTATCGCGCACTTACTACAAAAGTGACATGTATTTTCTGTTGTATATTTTCTACTCTTCCTTTTATGCTATGTTATCGCGTGTGTTCGTCTAGTGTACTTTTTATGTATGATGTTTTCATTCTGTGTCCTTTATAAAATTCTACATGTTTTTGTGGGGGTCCATTGAATTGAACTAAACCACTGTTTCAGGTTCGGTGGCGACGATAAAGTGCCCAGCTGCCCGACAATCCTGGAGCACTGCTGCCGCATCCCGCCCAAGGAGGAGACGGCGGACGGCGGGGTGGCGGTGCGGCCGCCGCTGCCGCCCGCGGGCCCCGTGGTCGGGGCGCCCGACCCGCAGCCCCAGCCGCAGCCGCCCGTGGGCCCGCCCGCGCCGACGCCGAGCCAGCCGCCGCACGTGAACGTGAACCCGCCGCGCGAAGGGGACGTGTCGACGCGCTGGGAGTGCGGCGTGCGGCGCACCGACTTCGCCCTGCTGGACACATGGGCGCGCGTGGACGACAAGGAGAGCGACGAGGTGTCGTTCGCCGAGTTCCCCTGGACGCTCGTCGTCATCCAGAACGCGGACGAGAAGTGGCTGGGCGGCGCGTCGCTCGTCAGCCCGCGCATCGCCCTCACCGCCGCGCACAGCGTCCACGGGTAAGAGTCGCCGCGCTGGGCTTGAATATGCCTTGTTGAGCTGTATTGTCGCCGCGCTGGGCTTGAATATGCCTTGCTTAGCCTGTATTGTCGCCGCCGCTGGGCCTTGAATATGCCTTTGCTTTGAGCTGTATTGTCGCCGCGCTGGGCTTGATATGCACTTGTGACTGTATTGTCTGCGCGCTGGCTTGAATAGCCTTGTTTGAGCTGTTATTGTCGCCGCGCTGGGCGTTGAATATGCCTTGTTGAGCTGTATTGTCCGCCAGCGCTGGCTTGAATATGCTTGTTTGAGCTGTATTGTCGCCGCGGCTGGGCTTGAAATATGCCCTTGTTGAGCTGTATTGTCGGCCGCGCTGGGCTTGAATATGCTTGTTGAGCTGTAATTGTTCCCGCGCTGGGCCCTTGAATATGCTTTGTGAGCTGTATTGTGGCCGCGCTGGGCTTGATATGCCTTTGTTGAGTTATTCGCGTGTATATGCCTGTTGACATTCGCCGCCTGCTGACCGTTGTTGGTATTTCCCTTTTGATTCTACAATTTGAAGGCTGCAACCCGTTGCATAATGATACGTTTCAAATAATCTCGCATAATGACACGCCGCGCGATGGTTAGCATCTCGGACCTGTTATACGCAAGTTGGCGGGTTTAACCTGATCGAAAAACTGTTAAGGGCGAAAGAAATCCTTCGTACGCCTTTCCTTCGGAGGAAGTAAAGCCGACCCTGTCCCATGTTAGTAGATTTACTTGCATGTAAAAGATTCTCAAGCCTAAATGACGCCTCAGAGTTAAATTCAAATCGCCTGTTTCTCGCCCAACAAATACCTTTCTCTGCTAGTTGGTGAATGAAGGGTTGGGAAATTTGCATGGTCAAACGGAAGAGCGGGCCTCATGGCCTGAGATTTCATTTAAGATACAGGTTCTTGGTCAATCACAGAAACGTTTACAAAAAAAGTATTGACATTTAATTAATTCTTTTAGAATCTTTCAGTAATCGTTTCGTTTGAATATGTATACAAGCAAACCACGTGTAAACAGCATGCAAATATGTAAGCAGCACCTGGGAGCTGAGATCGCACCGGATGAAAAAATCTTAAGGAGCTTCCCAACTGTAATACTAATCTGTGATATACCTTATGAACGTACCCATAAGTCGTAGGAAATGTACCGTATGAAACGCAATGTTACGAAAATATATTATATTCAAAATATGCGAGTACTTATTGCTTTGAAATATCTATGTAACCTAATTCAGTTGATTTATTATTACTTTTGCTTATTTGCTAGAGAGGCTTCCAAGCGCTCAGAATCGAAAGAATGACTTGGAACTTTATGTATATTGCTTTATAATAAGTCAAATTATGCAAGTCAAGATTCTGTAGTACCGGGTTTCCAACCCCGTCGAACCACAGGGAATTGTGATGACTAAAGCGAATTGACTGCCGGATTGCACAGCTTTTCTCGAAGTTTCTCATCTCGTAAATTCACCATTTATCCCTCGTCATTACATAATTTTAATGTTCTATAATTCTTGATTAGCTCAATTGTTCTCGAATTCAACTCACTTAAGGACTGAAGATCATTATAAACATAGTTATTTTATTAATAATTAATAATTATTATTTCTATATGTACCATTTCCGCCCAATAAAATAGGGGGCATGGTCGGTGTGACTTTCTTTGGATCGTTGGCTCACTCGTGCTCAGGCTGTGATAGTTTCTTTCATGCCATTCAGGTACTTGAAGAATGTTTGTATGACACTGTTTTACTGTAATTAAAGAAAACGTCTCTCCCAAAGATATTTATTGAGAAATATTTACATGAATATTCTTAGATTACAAGTTAAAGAGTTATTGTAAGCGTAATTGACAGCGTAAAGTAACAGCACCAGGACTTAAAGATTCGGAGATCGTGCCCTGCCCGCATACAATTGAAAGTCTATTGACATGCATGTGTAACGTATTGCCAAACAAAACATCGTGGCAGGCAGTCTGACGCCGTGCAGGCTCGCGATTAAGGATTAGACAGGTCCAGACGCCGGGGGGGGGTAGAGTTTGAATTGAAAGGCAGCCGGGGAGGGGGCGCCCTCAGGTGATTTAGGAGCTTCCCAGAATCCAGAATCCTTCCCAAAATCCGCGGCAGTCACGTGGCGGGAGTCACCGCGCGAACACAAGATGACGTAGCATGTCACGTAGTGGAAGGGACGCAAGACGCGGGGGTTAGTTTTGAACTATGTGAAAACCTCATGCGAACGCGCAAAACTTGCGCCCAGGGCGGAGCGAAGACGAGCTATGCTCGTGGGGTGACTCGATGTTGGGGGAGCCGTTGGGGGAGCCGTTGGGGGAGCCGTTGGGGGAGCCGTTGTTCCACGTGTGACAGGTCACGTGGAGTGTTACGCTGGATGCGTGCTCTCGCTGAGAAGTGGACGACGACTAAGGCCGATCTTCAATCGGATAAGAATCGCTTGTATTCTCAGGGGTCGGATGTATCAGAGTAAATGTAAATAACCATTTGAAGTATTTATTTGTAAATATTTATTAATAAACCTTGTAAATATCTGAGCTCTTGTCTGTGTTTGCTGTTGTTCCCACGACGTCACACAAGCATATTCTCGTAGAAAAGTCATATTAAAATTTCATCACCATACATTATATCGTTCAGTTAATGTGATAAGTGACTAGAAGAAAAAACTCGTTTACATAAATTTGCAATATTGAAAAAAGTTTGTCTTGAAATATGTAATAAAGTTATTTTGGTATTTTGGCCTTTTCTGTATTTGGTTTTCATGAAGACCATGCCATCTTGTGGGCCGTATATGCCAAAACGAGTAGGTTTTCTTCCCATCAGTATAGTTGAGAAATATAATACAAGAGTTGATGAAACAACCAAAATCTGAAGTATTATTGTAAAACAAACAACTTGGAGTAGATTTTATACTAAAGGAACTAAAGAACAAACAAAAAGATGACCTCTTTTTTCGGATGAGACTCCCATGTCTTCCCACTCTTCTGAACCTTTTAGAAACCAGAAGAAAAGTCGGAAACTGAACAGGAACAGGATGGACTGTTAAACCACCCCTATCAACCCCTATCAAAAATAATGGGTGAAGAGACAAATTAAGCTACTGCACATATCATTTTCTTAATCCATCATCAGGTTGCAATCTTTATTATCAATATGTCTTTATTTTTTCTACATCAATAGATACACAAGTCTCCAAATCAAGTTTCCATAAAAATAATTTTTGGTGCAGTCTTCCGCATGTAATTTCACTAGTAGTGCAAACTCACACGTGGTGTATACCACTCACGTTTGTTTCTAAATTTTCTCGTCGCGACTTCGGATTCCCAATGCACAACTCTCAATCCCTTCATATGAACTGAACCTTTGAACTGATAGTGTTGATACCGGTGAGTGACCTGTTTGATACTGCCGGAACTGTACTTTCATCCGTAGGAGCAGAGGCGGGTTAAAACAAGAAAACCACCCTTTGCAGCATGGACCGCAGCTGAGGATACCATCCCAAAGACCCGTTACTCAGTAGCTAGTTTCCATTGTATTTAGGACACCAGTCTTGCCTGGTTGGTTTTTCCGCCGACTAGCGGGTTTTCCTCCAGGATCGAGCGACGTGGTGATGGTGTCTTTCTGTTAATTAATAGATCACATTCGCTCGGGGTGGAATACCAAGCTGTCGCGTAGCGCATTTATTATTTAAAAGGCATATAATCTTATTTAATTCAAATTGTTGTTTCAATCTCAGACCTTTGATTTTAAAATTATTTTCAAAATTATATGGTAACATTTTATCCATTTTAACCTCTGATGGTTCTCTAATTTATAACTTGCTTTAAATTAACGTGCTTTAAAAAAACGTTTCTTTCCACTAAACTACTTACAACTTGTAGATTACCATTAAATTAAATTTTAATAACATTACTTTTTGTAATTTATACATTACTCTGTATATTTGACATTGTGGTCAGCGGAAGAAGCGCGGCCTGATGGCCCGAGCCTTCGCCATATTAGATAAGGCATGTTGTTTTGTTGTTATTATATATTATTATTTATTATTATATATTATTATTATTATATTATTATTATTATTATTATTATTCGTTTAACACTAATCAAAATTCGATTACTTATCTCTTTCAATCCACTTGTGTGTTCTAAAACGTGATTAAAATTTACTCCATTCAATGAGTATAACTTCTTCAACAGTAAGAGGAATCAAAAAAACAAGACACTATAAATCCATGCTCACGTATTTTACAAGTTGCATTCGGCTGAATGTGGGGCCTCGGCGCCTGTGCTGCCGCAGCGTTGAAGCTGAACGAACAACCCGTCCTCACAAGATTGTCCATTATTCGAATATATGTGTATTAAAGGGAATTACCGATTTTTAAAAACTTTCATACAATAGCATGGAATACAGGCATTAGTAATTTTTCAGTCGCAGGAAAAGGTCACTCATGTTTTTTTATTATTTAATGCGAGCCAATCCTAAAAATCCACTATGTGTGTGCACACGCAGTGGCGCGATCCCAATGGGGCATGGGGGCCATGGCCCTTTTCCCAAAAGAGCTAGGGCAAAAATGTGTTCCTTCTACTTGCCGAAATGTATTTAAAATACTTGTTAGAATTTATAAATATTTTTAAAGAAATGTTGATATCGAAATATACCACTACAAAATATACAATATAATTTCTAATGTTTATATTTGAACAACAATGTATGCTTCCCTCAAAAAGTGATCGTCTGATGCGCCCCTGTGCGCCCGAAAGTGATGCAAGAGGATTGAACTAATGTGGTGTGGTCCCCAGCGACAAAGCTGACAAACAACCGTCCGCTGAACTCTCTCTAGTAGCTGCGGGTGCGCGCGGGCAGTGGGACCCGCCAGCACGGAGGAGCGCTGCCGCACCAGGAGCGCCAGGGCGCAGTGTGGTGGTGCACCCGCGCTTCCACCGCGGCGCGCGCTGCTGCACGACGCGGCGCTGCTGTGCTGGAGGGTGCCGTTCCGACGCCGCGCCTGCACCGTGGCGCCCGTCTCCTGCCGCCCTAGCGGCGCCTCCGTTCGACGGCCGCCGCGTGCATCGCCACCGGCTTGGGCACCGACGCGCCCCGGTGAGTCGGTCGTTTGCGGCGCCTTCTCATGTTGGGGGGGGCGCGTCTTTTCCGGCGCCTCTGTTGCGGGGGGGGGAGTCTTTCCGCGCCTCTGTTGCGGGGGGGAGTCTTTCCCGGCCTAGCCTCTGTTGGTGGGGTCTTTCCCCCCCCGGGGGGCCCCTTTTTCCTGTGTGGGGGGTCGTTGGCGGCGCCTCTTGATGTGGGAGGGGGCGGTCGTTGCGCGCGCCTCTGATGTTCGGGGGAGGGGGCGGTCGTGGCGGCGCCTCTGATGTTGGACAGGGGCGGTCGTTGCGGCGCCTCTGATGTTGGGAGGGAGGCGGTCGTTGCGGGCGCCTCTTGATGCTTGGGAGGGGCGATCTTGCGGCGCCTCTGATGTTGGAGGGGGCGCGTCGTTGCGGCGCCTCTGATGTTGGGAGGGGCGGTCGTTGCGGCGCCTCTGATGTTGAGGGGGCGTCTTGCGGCCGCCTTCTGATTTGGGAGGGGCGTCGTTGCGGCGCCGCTCTGATGTTAGGGAGGGGGCGGTCGTGCGGCGCCTCTTGATGCTTGGGAGGGGGCGGTCGTTGCGGCGCCTCTGATGTTGGGAGGGGGCGGTCGTTGCGGCGCCTCTGATGTTGGGGGATCGTTGCGTCTCCGACCTCGGAGAACTTACATTTCTGCTGTAATGAAATGATTATCATTATTAAGATCATTCCTTAAAGATGTAATCGTTATGTGGGCCTAGTCGTCACAAAGGGTTAAGGGAAGGGCTTACATATGTCCGAACGTCCGAATGTTGTCATGATCATTCCTTATTAACTGAAATTAAAATGGTGATGTGCAGATGACTCGAATTTGATAAACAACTTCTACAAGCAAATTTCGTGCTTTGAGAGTTAGGTTTACGACAGCAATAAAACCCTTTTGAAAATAGTAATAGACACAAGACAAATCGGAGGTGTTCTAAATTTGTAACATCGCTTTCGTAACGTCTTCTCGTGCTAATTATGAATTTATGGAAATCCTTGTGAAAAGCGAGGAAATGGGATTTATCATGAGGCGCAGTCCGTGACAGAAGTGGTGGAAAATAATAATGACGGGATGATGAATGCTGGTGAGTGTATCAGGGCCTCAGGCCAATTTGTGGTTTCGCCCCTCCCCTCTTCCTTAGGTGTGAGGTAAGTTATAAATTAATAAAATGGCAAGAAATGTCCAGACATTTTTAAAATTTTCTGTGTATTGATATTAATCTGCAAACATTGTGATTGTCAAAGTTCCCAAACATAACACTTTTAATTCTACGAATCGTCGTGAATTAAACCAATCAGTTATTTACATGTAAGTTACGCGTTTCCTAATTACTATACAGTTAAGTGTCATGGGATAGTATTCACATAATTCTTAATCGCTCATTTTGAGAGGAGGGAGGTTAGTAGCTAGTACACAACTTAACCTATCTAGAGGCTGAGATTGATTTTGATTTATTGTGAAGTGTAAAAATGTTTACATTAATTTCGCAAAAAATCATAAACTAAATGATCTTGCTTAATGGTGATGGACAATGAAGTACATGTGTCGTACATGATAATTTCGTTCAGACAAGTGGTACACAACGTGGTTTACAATCCCATTAACTCGAGTCTTGACGAACTTTGAGCTTTCCGTTTATCCAAGGTCTTTTCCTCCTTGCAGCTGCTAAATTCAAATAAGCCTAGCAGTTTTTCGTATCCCGAACGCCAACTCCAAAAATACGCAGATTTCAGAAACAAGAATTGGTCAATCTGTTTCTAAATTTCATATTGGAAGATGATTTTCAGATCCGGAGAATATCCAACACTTACACAAACGCCGCCTATTTTTGTAGGTACAGGTCTAGACGACGACATTGCGGCCGCTGTGGCGTGTTTCATTCTCAGGTTGGTCCTGCATGTTTTTGTGATGCGATGCGAGCATGTCTTTGTTTTGGACGGATAGTAGATGTGCACTGAAGGCTCTGTAATTTTGTTCCACATTGCATGAGACCACACCTCCAGTGCTTAAAGAAATTGTTTAAGTACTACCGAATTCCCAAATACTCTGAATACTCTAGCACTCCCATCATTGAGATGCACTTCTTTTCAAAAGATGCACTCCTTTTTCTGTAAATACTCTTACCGCTAGCGACAGTTGTACAAATGAAAAAAAAACTAGCATTCTTTGCTTTACAATAACCAGAATTATAATAAATTAATTGCAAATGTAATCCCGAATTAAAAACGTATTGGTTCCTACATTTAATATCGAAATTTAATTAAGAGCAATTTTCTCCTTATTAAAATTTATCGGTTCAAGAGTAATTTCATTGGTTAAATGATGAAATGGCCATTCAAAGTCAATTAGTGTAATTTAGAAGTAGTGTTCCGTTGAACCATTTGGCATTTTTGTTAAAATCCATATACCGAGTTGGAAATGTCCAACTTTTGTGAAATTGTAGCGTCATAGGTAAAATAGGTGAATAGGTTTCTGAAATACAACGGTGTGATTGTGTTATTGTCTCCATTCAGGGTCATTGTACAGTAATGCCTACGTTGTACAATAGTGTTTTAGCACCTTTCAAATAAAATACTTCCTTCTCCTTTAAAGATGAGTAAATGAAATCGCGCTTGCTTGTACAACATATTCTATTTTATTCAGAAAAACCAATATCAACATTTATGTTATTAATACAATGAATGTAATACCTGTAAATTGCAGCAACGTCCATCTCCCATCAAATGAAGGCTTTAACTTTTAATATATAAATATAACACAATTTCAACCATCTAGCTCTTACCATTACTTCTCAAACAAGATTTAAAGTTGATGATTTTTTACCAAAGATCCCAAAATCTTGTATTTTCAACCTTCTCTTTAAGATGAGTACCTTTTAGGAATTCTTTCACATCTACATCATTACAAAGAGCAGACTTTGAAGTTTTTAAAAATGTTAATTAGATATATCAGAAGCATACAATTCAGAAACAAGTGGTAAAAATCGCAGGTATGTACCCGAAAAGCAGAGGTGTTCTAAATTTGATTATTTTTGAGGATTTGATGATCCAAATTTGGTGATAAAATTTAAGTTTAATAATAGTTTCCTCGGTGGAAGGTAAGAAAATTAAAATTTAATACGTAATATTGCATCCCATGTTTTTGAATTGAAAACTTCATCCTCCAATCTAGGTTGCTGTAAAATTCATGGTATTTGCAAAAGTATTGAAATGGAGAATTTTAATTCCTTATTTTACAAAAGTACCTCCGATGTAGTTAAAAACGTCTCATTAGAAATGGCATATTCTGAAGTCGATAGGAAAACGGATTGTCAACACTGATGTGCAATGCCCCAAGTTAGAGACAAAGTAGATAGTCATTGCCGTTGCGATGAGTTATAGTTAACGTACGAAATAGCATTATTTGAGCCATTATTACGGTTTTTACATTGGTCCATAGTAATTGTCATTCTCATTACTGTTTCCACTTCAAAGACTTGAACTAACAACAATCGTAGTTGTGACATACCAGCCACGGTTGGGTTTCTGGGTTGAAATTTTGCATTCATAAACTGGTACTATAATTATTTGCTGACTTTAATTAAATACTAAATTGTTGATGCAATAATTTCCTGTATTTAATCTTTCTTACTTATGTTGTGGAAGCTATTAAAGGTTAAAATATCATTTTTAATTCTTCTTTTTCGGAGACTTTGCGTCAATTTACCCACTGTATACTACTGTGTTGATATTAGTTCCTATGATGAGAGTGAAAACTGGTCAAGCAAGCTCAGTTTCACCTTTTCAGCAATGATGCAGAAGAAAATATTGTATCCTAAAGTGGCCAATTTCTTCTACTAGTTCTCTACGACGACACTGAATGGGGCCGCACTATCTCAAACTATTTTACCTACCAAGCTACAACTTCACAAAAGTTCCTTTGAGGTATTTGAGCCTCGGTTTATACAATTTCACGAAAATCAGAGATTGTAGCGTGAGGAGCCCCAGACCACTTTGCATGGAATTACGCAAATGTGTTCTCATGATAGAAATAATCTCTTAGATGCGTGAACGTAGAGTAATTTCGTCTTAGTTTTGGAGAAATATTTTCTGGAAGTTGGTTATATAGTGAAGATATTGAGTCTGTTTTGTATATTTGGGTTAATTCAAGGTGACTAAACCAGATTAAAATTTCAATTATAGAATATCAAAACTAAAGTTTAGGAACGTCAAAATGGTATTACATAGTGCGTGAACAGCAATGGTCTTTGGGGAATATTGAAGATGAATGTAAGGATGTCAGCTCAGTGACAAAATGAGTAATACGTCATAGAACTTGCACCAGGATGGAACTTGTGCCGCATGGGGATAACGTTAGAATCTACCGTTATTTTCCTTACAGCAAACCTCGTGATCGTGAGATAAACGCATGAAGAGGTGATGGTGTAGTGTCTTGTATGTGTGCACCATGGTGTTACGGAGGTAGGGAGTACAAAGAACTGCCGCCAGGACGGGCAGGCGCTCTCCCGCTTCAACTACCTACGTCACTGATCAGTGTCGTTCTCAGAAAAGCGACTATGTAAACAATTTTTGCATGTAATTTGCATTAATAATCTGTGAATACCTTGTACAAAAAACGATGTTTCGTCAACGAAACTTTTTCAAACATTTACAGATTTCATTGCATTACCTGAGCAAAGATATCGCTCCTAACTTGTCTACTAACTTTCCGCCAATACTCCATGTTGTCATGAAAATAATTCCTTTTTCGCTTTCCCCACTTAATTTCAATTTTTTAGTATATGCGAAAATTGTTTTAAACTATTTTGGTGGATTCAGTTTTCATCATTATTAGGCATGTTCAAATTAAATTACGTGGAAATGTCTTTCGGAGGGGAAGAGAGCGAGAAAATGATGGAGGCTTGAGTGTTCCATATGAATGAGTAACCCTCTGAAGTCACTAGCCAAACATCGGAATATATTCCAGCAACTAGTGCTCCTATGGTCAAAATGACCTTGTACTTTGTTCCTAGTTTTCGTGCCGTGTAAGATAATGATAAACAAACAAACAATACACAAAATTGGAATGGGAAGCCGCTGCTAACTCCCGATGCTGCGATCTGAAAGGGCCTATGCTGTTCGTGTGGCATAGTGGCGGTAACAAAAAGAGGAGCAATCACTGTTCGGCCTTGCCGCAGGTTAACCAGTAGAGGGATTAGATTCCTTCTGAATGACCTGGCCATTCTTTCGGCGATCGCACCTGCGGGTGGAGGGGGGGTGCAAGCAGAAGCGGCTCGTCGCTGCAGGGAGCGAGGGGAAGAAGGGTCTACAGCAATCTACCTTCACACAGCCACCATCCAGCGCCACTAAGCGTGGGAAAGGGAAGGATTTGTGCCCCACACAGCAGCCGCATGCCAATCATGTGTACACAGCTATACTGCGCTTTTCTCAGCTCCGCCCCTGGAACGTATTAGCTGTTGGCAGTTTCATCCAAGCAGGAGCTTGAACGTCACCATAGTGACGTCACTAGCGCCGTTCACGCTCCTGATCGGATGAAACGGTCAACAGCTGATTCCAGCCAAACTCAGAGTTGCGTCAATCGCAGTGTAGGCTCAGTGGCCTTGTGTGAAGGCTGACATTTTCAAGTTTTTTGCTGGTAGTGGCGCGGTAACGCGTCTATGCTGCCAAGGGCAGGAGTGCACCACCAACCGCCACAGCCGCGCCTCCGCGCCTCCACGCCCCTCGTTTATACACTATTGGAAGCTAAGCTTTGCCAGCAGAAGCGCCACTGGGAAGCGCTGCGAAGCGACTCCGTGAGAAGGGGCTCTTAGTGTGATAGAAAATGTTTACAGATTCAGATTTTATTATTTTTCTTTTTGAGAAAAAATCAAATTTTCTATTAAGTATGGTACATGAAAAATGTGCCACTAACCGTCACGACAGCGCTACCACTAGTTCGTATACCTCCATTTAATAATCCCCCAAGCCTTGCCCGGAGAAGCGCTACTCGGAAGCGCTGCGAAGCGACTCCGGGTGATGGGTCCCTCAATCCTTTGCTTGCCCACCGTGTACGCTGGTGACGCGTAAGTTCTGCCTCCCGCCTGCGTCCCGTGCTGAGGGTCGTGTGCGTGCTTGCTGCGCGTGCGCAGGCAAGAACGGGGCGCTGCGCCAGCTGTTGCGCCGAGTGGAGCTGCCGGTGGTGCCGCGGGACGAGTGCCAGGAGCGGCTGCGCACCACCCGTCTCGGCGTCTTCTACCACCTGCACGACAGCTTCATGTGCGCGGGCGCGGAGAACGGCAAGGACACCTGCAAGGTTCGTACGCTCCACGTCGTGCGTACATTCTAAAATGCCGGTTATTACCCGAGCACTAGTGATGCAGAACATCGATAACAAACCATCGATGTTAATTTCTAAATAGTTCATGAATAATTATCAGTTATATATTTTTTTCAAATAGTTTAAATCGCGTTCTTGACTTTACGGTTTACATATCTGATATCTCGACCTTGTCTATGGATTTCTCTAGCCCACGAAAGCTTCTGCCTAGATCGAGCAGTGCATATGGTATTTGTGGGTTTGTGAAGGGAGATTGAAGTTATAAAAAATCAGTCAGCATGATTTGTATTGCATAATATTTGTGTGAAAACATTATTTTATGTAATGTCAAAAAAAGTGGCATGTGCTATGGGAAGAATTGCCGATTTAAAAAAAATGCAACACAAATGCAACTCGTTTATAATGTTTCTGTATTGCATTCGTACAAATTTAAAAACTCGGTTCTAACAACGCTAGTTTTAAACCTGCGTTCTCGTGCAGTAAAGCTTACCATTGTGAAAGAATTGCACAATATACTATTTTTGTATAACTTTTCTATTGCAAGAAATCATACATAAAAGGGCATATTACGGCGCAAATGATGACGCAATCATTCATGCCGTAAATGCTAATACGTCATCACACATCCAACTATTCGCAGTGAGAGAATCGTGCCGAGTGGTGGTAAACGGAACAGCTGTTCAGTTTTCTCGCACAGATCTCAAATGTCAGGCGTCACAAGAAAGTTGTTTCCCGAAATTGAGTTTATTTCTCTTATAAATATTTAATGCTATTATACAAAAAGTAACGTATGCAAATCCCTTATAATGTTGCTTTATTGCATTCGTACAAATTAGAAAACTCTCTAACCCCCTCTCGTTTTCAAAACATGTACTCCTCGTGCGAAAGAGGGTAAATTTATAACATAGTTGCATTAATTGCTATTATTGTTCATTTCTCATTAATGATTTTTTTTGCCTTATTTACCTGAGAAATTACGAGCGGGTGGGCCTTCAACGGCGGCTACCCCTTGCCTTCCCACCCGAGCAGCGCCAGGATGATGCGTTTGTGTTGTCTAGGCAATCCGGGACGAGCCGCGTCACTGACGTGGTGGCTAACGTTTCGGCCAGCGTATTGTGGCCTTCTTCATGCTAGTGAATGCGTGTGGTTTTTGCGCAGGGCGACGGCGGCGGGCCGCTGGTGTGCCAGTCGACGGACGACCCGCGCCGCTACGAGCAGGCGGGCATCGTGTCGTGGGGCATCGGCTGCTCCGACCCCAACATCCCGTCCGTCTACACTGACGTGGCCAAGATGCGGCCCTGGCTCGACGAGCAAATGCAGCTGCTGGACCCGCAGGGCCGCTGATCCGCACGACGCACACACATCACTCCCACTCGCCGGCCGCTCAGAAAGTGCGGGAGTGTTGGGGTTGGTCGTTTGAAGCGCAGTCTTTCTTCGAGGAAGAATCAGATGAAAATGCCATCGAAGTACTTATAAGATTTTTCGTTCTTAATAATTCTCCTTAATCTTCGTTAAAAATCTGATGTTTAATTTAATATGTTCGTGTTGGTTTCTATTTCCTGTGATAGAAAACACATGAACCAAGTTTATGAATTGTACGATCTACTTTTATATTTGGCGCATGAAGTTCAGGGTTGTAAAATATTTATTTCACATCTGATTTAGCGCCAATGAATTCTGAAATGGCCTTGACCCTTTTATTTTGGATCAATTGATGGTAAGCTTTGACGGCGTTCTGTTAAAGATTGATAATGGCAAATACTTGGGAGTATAACGACCTCCACCAAAGTAAAATCAATTATTTGAATTTCCACTTGTCATGGTAGAGATGTTTTAATGTATATTGAAGTTAGTGAAATGACGGTTTGAAAGATATCGAAAACTAAATATGCATGAATCAGATGAATGGTGTGGACTGAAAATTCTAAAATGGAGGTTTGAAGATTTTGAAGAAATTCGAAAATTGTGTTAGTAAGCATAAAAATCTGAAATTTGCAAGTGATATAGTTTGTATTATTACTTACAGATTGAATGACTTTAGATTAACTGTTGTTATGTTTTGGTGAACAATTGCTGCTTAAGGAAGAAGAGAACTGAAGTGTTAGTGTAAACATTTTTAGATATAATTTTTCGTATTATCAATCCCTGCAAATTAATTTTTAAAGTTATTATGGACAGGCAGTATTGTAATCGCTTTCACTTAGTTTTAAAATTTAACAATTATTTTGTTTGTTCATTCTTTAAAGTCCTAGGGTACGTATGAAATTGTAATAAGAACTGTGCCAAAATAAACAATCCTACTTTATTCGATAGTAAATTACAACTCCATCACTCTTTTTCTATCATATGTTGATTTCTTGAATGGTTATTTCCAAGCATGAGACCTACCTTGTGAAATATATAATTTATTTTATAATTAATTTATTGAGATACATTTGATGTTTGTTACGTAAGAAATGGGAAGCAGGAATGGCTATTTTTATCTCCTTACAATAATTTGATAAAACTGAACATATGACAATGAAAATAAAAATGTTTTCTCAAGAAATATTCCCAGCTTGAAATACTGTTAAATTTAACAATCTTAGTAAGACATTAGTATGATGGTACTTAAAAAAGATTATATTTCCGAACTCAAAGCAAATATAAATTTAATGTCAATATTTTGAATATCCGTTTTCATTATATATGACTTTCATGTAAGAAGGGGAGATAGTATACGAATGGAAATGTTGTCTAAACTATTCTTTCATGTGTGATCGTAGGCTTCCGCGGCCGGAGTCATTGGGTACTTGGCTGTCCGGTGTGAGCCGCGTCGAACTGCTGAATCATTCTGCTTTAGCAGTATAGCTCTGAAGAAGGCCACAACGCGAAGGCCTAAACGTCAGCTCAACCGACTGAGACGCGGCTCACCCCGGACAGCCAAGTATCAAATTCTTTCAAACACATTCATATTTAATGCAGTTGGGTCGTAGACTAAAATTTATGTCTACGTAAGTTTCCATGGACATTGTTGTATACTTAACATACAAGCAGACTTTACTTTTTAGACCATAATTAATGTGTAGGATTTCGACTACATAGTTATTGTAATCTGTTACATTTCACATTACATAAAAAAAAGGATGTAGCAAGTACTAATAATTCATAGTAGACATTTTCAATTTATTTTAAACTCAACAGGTCTGAAGTACGATCTATTACAGATGTTTCATCAACCAGATTTGCTGACATAGTTTTGCCGTTCATTTCGGCAATAAATATCTAATAATAAAGTACAGACTTAAAGTAGAAATACATGTAAAATACTCCAAAAAAATACCATTTAGAGAACCTTAAATAAATTTAAAAAAATAAATGGCATGTATGTGTGTTTGTATACACACACACGTGTGTATATATACACAAACACTTTGTGTAGTACACACACCACACGTGTGTGTATACACACCTAAACGTTGTATACACACACACACGTGTGTGTATACACACACACACGTTGTGTATCACAACACCAACGGTGTGTATACACACACACACACGTGTGGTATAACACACACGTTACCACACACGTGTGTGTATACACACACACACAACTGTGTGTGTCAAACATACGACACTGGGATACACACACACGTCGTGTGTATACATCACACACACGTGTGGTACACACGTTTTAACCACACACACACCGTTGGTTGTATACACACACACACTGTGTGTATACCACACACACACACACACACAGGTATATAGCCGAATAAGGTGGAAAGTGCCACCAAACCAAATAGATAATTGCGATGCTCATAAGAAAGAGAATAAAAATGCCATAGGTTCCCAAAAAATCTGCTTCTTAGGAAAATCTGTTGTATGATACGAGAAACGCGATTGTTAATATTTTATTTTTTTCTCGGAATCTATTGCAAGTATCGGACTGAAAAAAAATTACAGGGACGGGGGTAAATAGTTGAATTTTAAAGTTTTTGTCAAAGAAAATTGACACCAAATCAAATAGAAAAAATAATTTTTAAATTGATTTTCAACGTAATAAGGGAGTACTGTCTGTTTTTTCCCCCCCACCAGAATGTGTCTTATAACATTTTTAACATATATTTTTTCAGATTCTTAAACAATGTGGGCAATAGTGAAAAATACAATATTACAACCAATTTTATCAGATTAAAATTTAGATATTTGCATCAAATCGTGACCGGCTTCTTCACCAATGTTAAAACAATTTATTGAAAATTATTGAAAAATGTCACTTGCCAGGATGATTTGCAACTTTTGACTGACACATGTTGGTTTCTTATGTGGTAGACATTTATATTACCGAAATAAAATCATCAAACCCCTTTTCTTCTTAGATTTGTGTATTGTTCCTATTATAAAACAAATTACTAGGTGTTAGGTATAATGATCGTTCAGGATTATAGTACTCGTATAACTTAAATTAGTAGATTCATTAATCATTGTAAATTAGACAATCATAGACAATTATACATAATCACTGCCTACTTCAATACTTAAGATAATGCGTTCGTTTATAAACGTCAAAATTTTTGACTAACAATTTTCGCCGAGCAACGAACGTGTGTCATAATAAATGACTAGCGTTCACATAGGAGCACTCTCGCATGTTAATCACCACCCTCAATTTCCCTAAAGGTATCGTGAAAGTGAAACATGGAAGCATGTCCGTTACAAGATGCGAAAATACAAGGCTATCAATTGAAGGTTCCCAGAAGGTTTCTCACCCGTATAAGACAAATGACATTTCCTGAAACTACAAGAATCTACAAACTCATCCGTCTCTCTAGAATATATTTATGTTACATATTTTGAGAAATATGCTGATTTACTTTTTGTGTTATGAAATGTAATGTTTCGTCGATCCATGGATCGACGAATTTGTTCGATTTTCGACTGGTGATATCCATTTTTCGATTAGAAGCTGATTAAAGGAGAATCCCCATTTAAGACTAAAATTAAAAAGTAAAGTAGATACAATTTTTTGTGCGAAGTTCATAAAATATTTTGCACACAAGATTGTATGTACTTTAGTCTTTAATTTGAGTCGTAAATGGAGTTTCTCCTTTACTCAGAACGTGCTTGAAATGAAATTTTCTACACTGCTAATTGGAAGAAATTGACGTTTATGGCGATACTTTTGAGATTTTCTAAAAAAATAAGCTTCTAATCAAAAAATTGGGTATCACCAGTGGATTTCCCATAAACATTCGTGCTAGTTCCTTGGTTATCAGAAAAATTCGTGACATGTCGAAAATGGATGCACGATACATTTTGTACATGAAAATTAAACCAGCTTATTTCTAAATTTTTGTAGTTTTAGAAAATGTCATTTGTCATATACGGATGAGAAATTATATTTATTTTCGCATCTTTCAAGCTCTGAAAATAAGTCAAATTGAAATTGCTCTCTCTCCTAAACTATTCAAGCTACAGCGCTGGAATTCGCACACGAGATTTTATGTAGTTTGCTCGTTAATTTCGGAGTTTTGGAAGGAGAAATTAAACGGGGTTTCCCCTTTAATCAGAACTTGCTTGAAATGGAAATGTTATGCACTGCTATTACGCACTATCACGCTGCAGGATACTTTGTACTTGATCACTCGAGGCTCGGTTTTGTTTCTCGTCTATCTCCGAAACTATTCGTCTGATAGGAGTTTAGTTTGCACCATTGAAGGTCTCTTAAAGTGTTCTATTTATACACAGAATTTCATATGTCGGCGCCGAAATTAAAATTTTTCCTAATTTGTCACGTAAGGGGGTATTTTGTACTTGATCACTCGAGATCTCGTTTTGTTTCTCGTCTATCTCCAATACTAACCGTCTGATTGGGGTTTGTTTGCACCTTTGAATTTCTCTCAAACTGTTCTACTTACACCCAGAATTTAAGTGTCGGCGCCGAAATTAATATTTACGAAACTTACGACGAGTTCAGGGAAAAATTTCTAAATCGTTTCTGGGGCGAAGAAACTAAATTTGCTTATGAGCGACGCCTTATGGAGAAACGATGGTTTCCCAAAATGGGAATCTCTTATCTAGATTACGCTGTCGGGAAGATAGCTGCGTTCCGTTTATGTGACCCTTCGATTTCTGATATCCGGCTTATCTGGATTATCACTTGGCAGTTTCCGGAGCGGATCCAAATTTCACTTAACAGCGCGTGTCTGGAAAATGTACTAGAATTTCAGGATTTATTAGCGCAATTCGATCAGGCGCGGATGTCAGACGGGAATGAGGCTGGCAATGGACGGCCACCACAAGAAGGAAATGCGCGATGGACTCGTTACGAATGCAATGGTCGGAGCGGACGCGAAGCAGCTGGAGAAAGACAGCGCCCTGACGAGCGTCGAAACAATGTCGGGCACGAGAATAGGGGCCCGGAAAACTAGAGACGTCTGAAGCAGGTAGGCATCGGCCTTTCGGACGAATTACGGGAGCGGTAGAGATGCAATTAATTAGGACCGTCGTGATGGACGAAACAATCGAAGAAGAAGATCGGGAGGTAAATCGAGTAAGGGCAAGAAAATGTCCGATTATTGCGGCAAAATGTGAAAGCAAGCTATTCGACATTTTAATTGATTCAGGAAGCGAAGATTCCGCCATATCGGAAAGGTTTTATTTGAAATCAAAAAGTGAACTAAAGAATTTGCCTGAGTTTCCCGTTATAAAAACGTACGTTTTTGGTGCCGATAGGAAGAAAAGCCATCCCATTACGAAGCCAATATTAATTACTATTAGCCACGGATCTTTTCAGTTTGATGCTACATGTCTTGTTGTCAACAATTTAGCATATGAGCTAATTTTAGGTGTTGATTTTTTGTGTGAGCGTGTTTGCATAGATTTTAGAGAGAATGTTCTCAGGTTCGACCCACTGTATTTAATGCCGTTCACCGGCGAAACTAATGATTTGATCGCTGACGAATTCAGGATCAACAATTTGACTAGGGGCGAGGTACGAGAAAGTATCACCCGACCTATTGATTCCACCCATTATCTGTCCGCGGGAGAGAGAGACCTAATGCGAGATGTGGTG